TATGAAGTGAAACGGTGAGACATAATGATCATGCCGATCTTTGGTCGTAGTCCATTCTCGAACCTTCTGATTTTCTTAACTTCTGTATCCACCAAGTATGGGGCATACCTTGAGAGTTGTTCGAACTGCCTCTCGTAATCATTAAGTGATAAGTTTCCCTGTCTGAGCTGTAGAAACTCAGATTCCTTGAAATCTCTCAGAGCTTGTGGGAAGTACTTTGCCATCACTTCATCCTTAAATTGTTCCCAAGTTAAGTTACGCTGCTGTTCTTCGGTCCTAGTGCGTGAGACTGATTCCCACCAGTGACCGGCTGCTCCAACCAACATGAATTCTGCACATAGTACCTTCTGTGCGTTTGTACAAGAAATGTGTCGAAAAATACGCTCGAGGCCTCTAATCCACTCTTCAACAGCCAGTGGGTCGGAATTACCGTCGAATGTAGGAGGCTTGTACCTACGAAACTGCTCAACTATAGAGATTGCTCCAGGAACGAATGGAGGTGTATCTTCCTGTGGCGGTGCATTTTGCGGTGAAGGAGCTTGATTCTGTCTGGTCAACTCTTGCACCGCTTGCAACAAGTCACGCATCAAATTTGCATGGGTAGGTGGGGCCATTTCCTAAAAATTTAAGTTATTCGTCACACACCAATACTAAATCTAACATTTATGCCTATATATCATAATTTAGAGAGTCAACAAATGGCATGTCTCGAATTTAAAAGTAGGTAATTTAATATATTTAAGTTATGCAAAAAATTTAAATAAATGCATTTTTCTTACCCCTTTACATACCTAGAGTCGTCGGAGGGTGGTCGATTGGTGGTCATTGAGTGCCAAAATCTCTTTCAAATTCTTATATATTTTAGAACTTTTAAAAGTGTTTACAAATCTTTAAATTTATCTCAAAAAAATTTATAACAAGTTGGAAAACCTAATCCTACCCTGACTCATTGAATAAGGAAAAAAAAAGTCAAAGGCAGTACATGAAAGGCATAGACATGATAATATAAAAATATCAATATAACATATTGTGTTCAAAGAATTACAGTTTACAACTTACCATCACTGTTCACGTTGGATTTTTTATTTATTTATTTATTTTTTTCAAGTCAGTGTAAACACCAGCGTTAAAATATAAAATTTGAATCCAACATAAAAATAGACATCATTAGCTAAACAGGTATCAATCATTTTAATAGTTATTAAAATAATAATTTTCTATTATTACACGATTTAGTAAAATTATAAAACATGCATAATTATGCCGTACAAATATACACAACTACATATATATATACTTACACACGTATGCCTCATATGACATCACATGCAATGCACACATATTTATCGTACGTACCAACTTCACGTATACAAAATCAATTGATACAAAACATATCTATGCATCTGCACACATGCAGACAATGAAAGCTTGCCTTGGGAGTTGGGATAGTATAAAATCATTATTTTAATGTTAATCAATTGAAATGAATGATTGCTTTTGAATTCAACAATTCAATAAAATAATATTAAACATCTCACACTTTATTTCAACTTAACAAAGGACAAACACAAACGTGGGAAAATAATATGGAAGGTGTAATACATGGTGCACGGGAGAATGGGTAGTCAGATTGCAAATGGAATAATAGTTATACTTTTCACCGAAATGCAAAATTAAAGTGACCTGAACAGAAGTATAAATCCCTTTTTTTTATTTTATTATTATTATT